TTCCATGTCTGGGTCTTAAATACATTGAAGGAAAAGGGGTTGACTATAAATAAATTGGGAGATTAGAGAGATAGACATGAATAGACTTTGGTTGATAGACATGAATAGATTTTGGTTGATAGATATGAACAGACTTTGATCGATAGACATGAATAGACTTAAGATATGAAAATAGAGTGATATGAAGATATATAGATATGAATATAGATAAAGTTTGTTAATTTTACATAGCAATATTATCGTTCACATGACACTCAGTGAGGAGTGAAGTCACTAATCTGTTGCAATAATCAATCAGTCTAGTCTTGCCAAACACTCGATCATGCTGAGACAGCATAAAAAGATAAATATTCAATCACACAGACAGATTCTCTCTCTCTCTCTCTCTCTATATATATATATATATATATATATATATATATATGCATAAGCACAGTGTGATGCATATATATTTATTAATTATTCATTTTATCATAAATAAAAAGATTTAAGTTTTGTTTAATGAAAGTTTATAGGCTGAGTGTAATGTTTATTGACAATATTTTAAATATATTTACAATTCAAAATGGCCACACTTTGCTTTCCCCATAATGCCTTCTCAACTGATAAGTTCTTCACAACCTCTTTGCTCAAATTATACCACAACATCATAAGAGCTTCTTTCAGGTTTGATACATTTGAGTATGAAATAAGCAAGACATTGCTCCCCAATGTGGGCCAGATTGCAAAGCCCATAGGATTAATGTCAGGGCTTGATGAAGACCAAATTGACTTTTCAAAAAATCCACAGAAATGTCTCTGGCACCAGTTCTGCATCAAATTGACCATGTGTGTGGGTGCTCTATCTTGAGTGAAGATATAGCAACTTCTAAATGTGGGTGTCAACCAGGGCAACACTTCACTCCCCAAGATTTGTTGACAAACTCTGCTATTCACTTTCACCCCCTCTCCAAATGAACACCAAAGGCAATTTCAAAATTTCAGAAGCAACATCAGCAGAAACTGTGACACCAGTTGGTTTCTGTTCCTTGAAATGAGTTCTAACACCTTCAGGAATATTTCCTGGTAAATTGGTGTAAACCCTATCATATTGGTACTTGACCACGGCCTCCAGGGTTAAAATGTTCATATCAAACAAAATGAAAACATTTTATTTCCTCTGTCAAGCCATTTTTGTTTGGAGGTAGCTGTCACTGTTGAATCTTGTATGGTTTTCATCCTAAATCGTCTTTCACAATCTTCCTTAGTGACCTATCTAAAATATCCAGCTTCCATCATCATCCTCATGCTTCTTGAATTTCTCTTCACCCTCTTCTTGGCAGTTTCAATGACTCTTCTGAACAGTTTCTTCCTGGAATTGAATTTGGTAAAGTTGTTTGCACCTCTTGAAACTTTTACCACACATTCAAAAGAGTATTTCTGCAAACATTCAACTGTTATATCACCTCATAATTCTTCATGCCAGCCATTTTCAAATCAACAAATTGATCGCAAACCAGAAATTTGAGAATTATACAAAACATTACTGTTATTATTAGCAACACAAATATCAAGATTAATTACAAAATCTAAAATTGATGTAACTTTGCTGAAGTACAAAATTTTAACTTGATAGCTAATTTAAGTCTCTCCAATCCAAATTGAAGTCTCTGCAATCCAAATTGAAGTCTCACCAATCCAAATTTAACATAACAGTAAATAAACAATATTAATGTAATATTTTAAAACTACCACTAGAAACATGTGTATTTTAATTATTTATTTAAAGCATTTTATAATAAAGCCATTTTTTTTATCATTATCCATTTATCCATGGATTAATATATCTGCTTCTTTTAATGTAGCCATTGAAGGAAATGATTTTATTTGAAAATTAACCTAATATTATTTTTTGTACTTCATTAGAAACAAAGAAAAGAGTGGTTAACCCCTAAATAATATTTATCCTTTTTTATGGCGGTGAGTGTTGGACAATTTCCTCACAAATGAAGACAAGTTTGATTTGTTTTTTTATGGCTTATCAACCTTTTGCAGGCTATCTAAAGCCAGGAAATATTTTCAGATTGTAAGAATTTTTTTTGAGATTATAATTATTTACTGATACAAGTTCTACTAATTAACCCATAGCTGGGGGTAGAGAATAAAGAAGAGTTTAATTCATGCCTTTCCCAAGGATATTTTCACATGTGAATATGATGAACTCAACTGGAATTCAAACTTGAGTCTCCAATTTCCAATTCCAAGCTGTTATCTATTACACCATCCACACACCCAAGCTTACAACGACTGGTATCCTCAAGTTATCTAGATACTGATGAGGCTTGACATTGCTTTACTTCTGTGATCATACAAAAGCTGGTGTTTCAACATAATATGGTCATAAGCTTAGATGAAGAGGAGACTTGAGGTAATAGAGTACAATTTTAAGAAGACAGAATTGTTAGCAAGTGGGACAGACCAAGGCATGAGATACAAATTGTAGATTTCAGAATGAAGCACG